TTCCATTCCGGCAGACGCTGCGGTAAAATTTCTTCCGGGGGAGAAAAAAGGGAAGGAAACAGCAGGTTTTCTTGGATCCCCCGGCCCGGGATACTTAAAAGGGGGGCATTTTTATTTTTTTGTTTTGCCTTCCCGGGTACAGGGCCCCCTTTTCATGGGTCCCCCCCGGGATTCGGCCCAATGGGCCCCAGGGTGGGGAAGGCCCATTTTTTGGGGAGCCCAGGATTGGGGGCTTTTTTTGAAATCCGGAGGAAACCGGCTTCCACCCCCCCCCCCCCCCCCCCTCCCTAGCTCTACGGTTTGCCTTGTTTCCTACTCCAAGATAGTAGCCATCCTCGCGCTGCGAGTGACAAGTGCAAATCGAGACATGAACTTGACAACGCCCTATGTTGTTGGCAGGTAGCCTCCATGCGCATTCTCGACATCCAGCACCAGAAACCGTAAACCGTGTATTCTCAGCTGCTGTTGGTTCCGAGGTGAAGACTGCCGCGGCTGAGGTGAGGTCCATGCCGTACGAAGGTATCGATCATGGTGCAAACGATGATCCTAAGATGCCCGCAACTTGCTTTGCTCTCCGCACGGATTAATCCTGCATTGTGCAATATTTCTGTTTTCTTACGCTGAAGGTGATCATCTAGAAAATGGCCGTCACGTCAGAATCAACCTGTCACAAGCGCGCCTGCCACGGCGATGACCTGGACCACCCTTTGAGGCGGATGATGTTTACCTTATCTAGCCAGCGATCCACCGAACAATAGGAGGTTGCGCCTAATGTTCAGTGTGCCAGGTGCACACAATCAAGAGTCACTCCTCACAAACTTCGAGCTGCTGTGTAGACGCACGTTACAGACTCAAATTACCACCAACTTTGCTGTGTGCTTGCTGGCAGCTGCCATACCGTACGGCGATGCAGCGACAGTCTCGGAATCTACAGGGGCCACCCGGGCCGCCAGGCCCAATCACCCCCCCGCAGGCAAGAGCATTTCCTTTTGCTTTCATGATGTCAACATAGTATTTCACAATGTCAAAGACTCCTTTGTCGCACGGTACCATTCGTGTTTCTTAACAAAGCTTTTTGTGTCATTTCCTCCTTCTGGACAGCCCGCTGCTCAACGTTCGCTTGGGGACCGAGCGCAGCAACACCCAAGGCACCAGCCAGGTAAGGGCATATGCCAGTTCTCCAAAGTTCTGATATGCGCGAGACAACCATGCAGGTTGAGAACCCCACAGGAACAATTTTGGCAAAAGAGATTCTGTAGCTCCCGCTGCGCTGTGTGGGGAGGTATCGGCGTGCATGTCCGGCCGGGGCCACGGATGTGTTCAGAGCAATTATGGAACGGTGTGAACTTTTTGTAAACATGTTTGGGGAAGCCGAAGATGACTTGAAGCCTCCAACTTTTGGTACTTTTGGTTGGATAGCTTTCGGCTCCCCGATTGTGTCGAAGCTACCCACTCCAGCTCGGACTAAATCGACAACCTCCTTCTTTCACATGGACTTGGCTGTTTACAGGAGGCAAGCCGTGGCCGGTTCGGGCAACTGTCACACATTCCCATCCTGGACCGACATTGCCCTCTAAACACCGACTGGTGAGTTAGTCATTTCATTTCGCTCCGATCGCACCGAATACGTGCGGTGCCGTGCTGATAAAAAAAAATATCCACTTCATGGGGTCCTTGAGGAGAATGGAGTATAATCAGTCGGTTGTTCTACCGCCAAGCACATCCGTCACACGTTTTCCAAGCGTAGCCAACCCGTTACCCGCACGCCTGTCGTTTTGTCGGGCCAGGCGGCCAACCAAGGACACCTTCCGTCTCCTCCTGGTTTCCCTCCTCGTGGAGTTATCCAGCAAAGGACCCCCAGAATGCAAGGCCAAGAGTCGGGTGTGTTCCCAGGATCTTCGCAGCGCCGAGACCTTGCCGTTCCCAGTAAATACCCTGGCGGAAAATCGGGGCAGTATGCAGGCGGAACGTGGGACCCGAACGATCGGGTGCCGTCATCCAAGACTGGTAGGAGCCGACTTGCCTGACGTTCATAATGGCTTATGGACCAATATGAATCAACATAGCGCGTGGTGGTTCCGGTATTTTTTGCTCAAGACGATGTACTATGTTTATTCCTTGTGTTTCGGAAAAAAGTGCTGAGAACCGTGGCTGTGGTACGTTTTCATCGCGTTGGTTAGTCTGATGAGGGCCGACTCTCAAGCCTTTCAGGCTCACAGAAACATCGTCCTGGTGTTGCCAAGCCAGCAACACCTGATGTTCACAATTTTTCCCTTCGATACTTACTAGGATTACTTTTTCCTACGACCATCCGACAGGTGCTCAGTTCCTTGGCATCGCGCATGCTGTACGCCCACAACAACGGAGGAATCGGAACGTTGCTCCATTTCCTCAAGTGCAATCGCACGGGCAAACTGAAAACGGATTCCAGACTATCGCGAAGGGCGGCAGTAGCACGGGGCGTGACCATGTTCATGACGACACAGTTGGCCGCGGCCAACGCGTGGACCAAGTCCAGGCTGTGTCTCGGGGGCCATCTCGCAACAGAATCCAGGCGCAACCTGGTGTTCGCCGAGTTTCCCACGGTCAGGCAAACAGCCCACACCAGGATGCTTCAACAAAGGTATGGTGTATGTTGTGTTTTGTGTTTTTGTGTGGATTCGTCCCATCTATTCTGGTCGCCAGTTAACGCCTTTCGGCAATCTTTGATGCATCAGTCGGGGTTCCACAGGAAGAAGGCAAATATATATATTTTTGCGTCGTATGTTGTTTTCTCCACCGCCCCCATGTGGTGCTTATGTTCAGTTAAAGCGCGAGAAGCGTTCAGGAGCCCCTCAGTTCATACTCTCTCGTGACTATGCGCTTTTCGTACCTGAAATACTGAGAGTCAGGTAGTTACGAGGTTACCTTCTGAATCACGGGGCAACCGATTCTCCTTCTACATTGCATAGATTTTCGCTGCCAGTACCAAGTTCACATGTTCACGTGTTCCACACATCGCACAATAGCAAGCACTCGACGTATCAAGTTTGGAACTGTGATGCGTTTTGTGGCAGGTTTCCTCCAGGCGACAGGAGGATTTTGTCGATCACACCGCGCAGCCTTCTGTGGGTTCGCGTCTGGAGTCTGCAAGGGATGACTCTTCACAACAACCCATGTCAACGTCATTGTTTCCGGTGGAGCAAGGTGATGATGTGTTCACACCCCCATCTTCACGAAATACCCCCAGGCCATGGATTTTCTACCTCGTAGTTCCCTTGTCTGTTCGAGCATTTTAATCTAATCCGGATTTTGCGTGATACCACAGGTCAAGAGATGTTGCCGCCGCAGGCGTCAAACGGGTTGTCGTCATCTGCCCAGCGGCAGGGATCACATGCCGAACGCACAGCGCGCGATGATGGCGAGCCATCTTTACCGGCTACAAGTAGCAGCGGAACTCCGCAACAATCTTCGTCGTCTGGTCGAATGAGCAGCAGCAACGAACGGAGTTCTCGGCAGGTGCGCTCCTCTATTCCATCAAGCATTTCATGTCTCGCCGTCGACCTTTCTTCGCCCGACTAGCTCGAGTAGTTGTTCCCTGCAATCGCCCTAGGCGTCTCTTCGTTGCTCCGTTCTGTAACTAGTGTATGTAGCCAAGACACTAAATCTAGCCCTTGTTTGGGCCAGCGAGCGCGTTTATCCGTTTATTCGTCGGTTCGAGAGAAACAGAGTCCAACAAAGCCCCCTCATTTTTTCCCTCCATAATGTGTCGCTAAAGGCGAGACCTGAAGATGAATCAGCATGTCACCTACAATCGCATGTGCACAAGGAGAAGGACAAGGGAAAATTCAAGAAGAAGGATGACAGAACCTACAGAGCCGCACCCAACAAGCAAGTGCTCGGTGAGATACACGAACGTCGAAAATGTGTTGCATGATTGGCTGAAGCGCGTGTAGGTTTGCTTGATGCCCCCCTCGGTATGTTAATACAGCAAGGTGGCCATGGCCGTGGCTCTCGTTTGGTATCGAAACCCTGGTATGATTTCGTTTTGTAAACGCGGTTAGTTAAGTCACCCAACAAGTATTTGATGTTCATCGGTAAATTCTTGTTCTCGTTTTCATGGTGCCTAATACCTTCCTTGCGAACTGGCAGGAACCGCGGTCAAGGAACCCAGTAGAATGAAATTGGGTACCCGTCCAAGTCTGTCACAAAAAATCAGGCTGATGGGCGGATACTTGCGCAGTTCGTCCCTCGGAATCGTGGCAGCAATCGTGCGAACGATCGCTTGGCAGCTGAACAGGTTGGTGTGCGTCGAACGTCTCACACGCTTGTACAGATGTGGTCGCGATTGTCCAGCTCTTTACCCCTTTGGAGTTTGATTCGGAATCGATTCGGCTGGCATCATTTCCATGCTGATGCCATCACTCGCTTAAACTGGAAATTGTTTGTGTTGTTCGTACTGTTGTGTAGTTTGCAGAGGATTAACGTGGAAGTATTGATTACCGTTGGATATGAGCCCCACCTCGATCTCCGCACGCCCCAGTCAGACCAATCATGTTGAATCAAGTTTCCTGGAGTAGAAATAAACTCGTTCGTCCTAAATCTTTATTCAAAGGTGGCTCGCGCTATGCCTCCCTCGCTAGGCCGAGCGTCGATGACTTTGGCTTGGAGCGCGTTTCTTGTACAGCATAGCCTCAGCGGGATGGTTCCACAGCGTTCGCTCTTCCGGATGTGCTCTTGGACTCGTTTGAGGAGTTGCGCTATTGACGCTCAAGCACTATTCATGTTCATCGTGGAGCGCGCCGCGTTATACGCATGGACATGTCTCATCTACAGATGACAAGTTTACGATCAACATGTATTTGCAGACGCTAAGTGACATGGCACGTTATCCGCTCGTCCGACGTCCTTGGCTCACAACGCAGGTTGCGTCTGGTTAGGCGCATGCTCACCTTGGTGTCATTTGCCGCGTCTTCTTCGGTGTCCCTGCTGAGTGCAGTGATCCTCAGTACGTCTTGGCTGTTTTTGCTCGGACTGCGACTTCACTCTCTGGCGCTCAAAGAAATCACAGGCAGCATTCACGTCGCGGTCTGCTTCCTCTTCCCGTACTGCTTTCAGTAAGTGCGAACTTTGAGCAAGTCGACGTGTGGACGACTTGGTGTGAACCTCTCGTCCTTGTGTGTTCTGATGATTGGGGAAACTCGAGCACTCAGATGCGAATTTGAAGTACGTCCCACAACGTGCGTCGTTTCCCTTCCTTGCGACACGCGGGCTGTGCTGCCCTCACAGGTACCTGGTATCGGCAATCGACGAGTGGGCGCCCCACTGGCTTCCGGCCTGCCTGTGGTACAGCTTCCTGATGCAGATGTTCTGCACTTCCAACCATCAGTACAAGGTGGGGCCAGAATTGGCGTGGTTCAGCAGCTTGTCGTTTAAGCCGTTTTTTTGTGCGCGCGAGGATGCACCGAAACTCGCGAAGACATTGACGGGTGTGCCGCCCTCGCCTTTGTTGTTGCTCCATGTTGCCCTCCACCCAGCATTCGATGTCTTCCCACCTTGTTCCAGCTCTTCGTGCCCTACTGCCGGTGGCGTTCCTCTGTGAGGTATGCATTTCCCGTAAATGACAGAAGGACCCACACCCAGTGATACCATTTGGAGTTTCAAGTTTTTCACCGGATGAGGTTTTCTCTGTGAGGTTTTGGACCTTGTGTTGCCCGACCGATTTCAGTACAGGTCGCGAAGGCCATCGACGGGTGTGTGACAATCAGGAGGATGATGGCCAGGGAGATAATAGCCACAGGGGTGATACAACTGCCTGAAAATATTGCTGCCGCACGCACAGGGTGTGGTGGTGCGGGCGTGTGATGGTACCTAGGCACCTGGCTGCGATTCGGGTTTCTACGTATGTGAATTGACGTGCAACTCGCTGACCCCAGACTGGACGCCAAGAATCCTCATTGAAACAAAAGCAAATTGTCTGTGATACGATTTTTTCGCCTATCGCCTGGCGTAGAAAAGAAGATGGCGAAATAAATGCGTCTGTTTGGTTTGAAACAAAGACGCGATCGGTCGAGCCAAAACAGCTAGCACCCTGTGATTCTGTACTCCTGGACATTCATGTTGTAGGTCGCGTGCGGCGTGGTTCCCCGCCCACAGGGTGCTTGCTGTATTGCGTATATGATCTCTTCCGCCGATTATCGCCGGAGTGATAGAGCACGGCCTCCGTCATTCGTGGGGCGTAGTCTCAGGGTGTGCTGATTACCTCATCTGACCCGGATGATATTTCGGCCTCATGTTTTGGGCCTATAGATGTTCCACCCGGTTTGTTGTGTGGGCGTGTGGTGTTGCATTCAGTCGTTTATGGTATAGAAACCCGATGTGTTGTCCACACCGTTTTCTACATTTCTAGTATCTTCGCTAAGCGTGTCATCACTTGGATGTTAACACCAATGACTCGGGGCGTTGCGACGATGTATGGAGCAAACGCGAGGCGCGAGACGCCCCCGACTCTTGAAACACACCTGAATAAACACATGGATCACCGGGATGATTTCATTCGAGATCACTGGTTGCCCTACGATCTCGTTGGTCTATCTTCATCTGGGGCGATTCCCTAAAATGCCACACACTTGCTGGAATTGGGATACCGGGCGTTCTGCCGACCCCGCGGTGATGAAAAAGGTACTGTCCAACTTCGCTTTGACTGACACTCGGCCAACCCTGTAGTATGCGTGATGTCAGACATTCGGTGGACACTGATCCGGCTGGAGTAGTAGCCTGCCGTATGCATAGTAAAACTGGTGACAGAAATTGCACCCGCCCGATGATATCATCAAGGTACCGTCAGGACGCAGCTATCTTTTGGCGCTGGGTGGGTCCGAACTGCTCCTACTGTCCTTCACATTGGCAGCAGTGAGGCTTCGGTGCATTTTCAGCCCGATTTTTCTCCTGTCGTGGTCTTGTCAGGTGAGCAAGACGGTTTTTACCTCGTGCTTGTTTGCCCTGCGTTTTTCTATTTGTTGCAGTGCAGAGTCGATTGGATGATCCATTACCCTCCGCGCGGTGTTGTACGTGATGGAGCTTGTACGCGTGGGCACAAACCACGTTGATTGGCTGTTACAGGCAACGGCATCGTTTTTGCTCGATACCCTTCTTTTCACCTCCGTTCGCATTACGGCAGCGTCCCACAAACTCGTAATAATTTTTCTATATATTCACGTGCGTGATCTTACTGTACAGGTGTTTGCCCTGGCGACATGTGGCTCTTCTGCTTCTCTCCAGTACGGCCAGGTCCTCGTGTCGCTGGCATCACTTCATGCGGTGTCTATGGTGGACGTAATGCTCAACAGCAGGTTCTACCACGCGAGGTGGGTTGGAGAGCAAAGCCTTCTGCATCGTGGTCCCGGGTGGGCATTCACGTCTTGCTGCCGGCGAGCTTCGCCCCAGAATTGTTGATGCGTTCATGGGCGCGCTGAACGGTCGTGTGATTTCGAAATAGATTCGCTCGTCAGAAGTATTCCCCGGCGGCAGGGTTCCCGAAACATTCGTCAAGAGAGCCGCTCCAGGGCAACCGATGAGAGAGCGGGGGAGGGGACGTTTAAGCGACAGTACAAGTTATATGATGCCGAGAAGGATACATCACGAGTTTTTTTTTCGCGGAAATAGTAAACAACAAGAGTCCCGAGTGTAGAACGGACGCATACAAGAGGCTTGGGTAGCACCGTAGTTATTATCACCTAGGGTTACCGAATAACGTGGTGGTTATTTCCCCTTCTCCAATCGACCTCTCAGGAGAAGGTCGAGTTTCGGAATTGAGGTGAAATCCGCCCTCCTACCTAGTCTGGAAGTCTGGTTGGAGGAGGAGGTAGCTTGTTAGGAACGAAATACTAATCGTGTAACCCGGAGATCACATGTAAACGCGGGCGTGTTAGGGGACAACCAAGTCTACGACTCGTACATAAAGCAGAGAGGGTGTCCCACCAAGGAATCGAAGCCCACCGAATGTGTTGTGAATCACTTGCGGCAGCTTACAAAACACAAGAATCACGAACGTCTCCCTCTTCTGTCACACCGATGCTCATTTGTTCTTGTGAACAGGTACAGGGCAGGCATGAGCCTTACGAATGGATTTCGGACCGTCCCCTGACCGCCCCACACAACACAGCAAGATGCAGAGGTTTCTAGCAGCGCGTTCGCGCAAGGCCCCGAGAAGAAGATGATGCGCCGTCGGTTTGGCATCACAGAAGGATTGTACACTTACTCCAGACCTACACGGAGCGAGCCAACGCGACCTTAGTTTCCTCTATTCTTGCTCGTATTTTGATGTGCATTGGAGGCCGTCCGGATGTACAGCGATGCAACAATGTTCATTTTAGACCCTCTTTGAGTCTGCGCGATTTCTGTGCCCAATCATGTCTCAACCAAATTATGCGACCGGCAACTGCGACTGCCTGACCCGAATGAAGACCATGAACCTGTTGTACCGGACAACATCGATTGATGGCATATGGACAAGAGTGTAGTTCGACGTGGTTAGTTTATTCTACGAGGCCGGCCCCCCTTTAGGGAGTATGGCGGCTTTACCTCCCGGGGGCGACGCAACAGGCCATGGCCGATGTGTATGACGGTTGTTCGCTGCAGCTCAATGCTCGATATGCTCGATCGTGTGCTGGTTTCCGTACCAAGTGCAGAATACTATCTCGCATCACGTTCATGTGTGGGGAAAAGGTGAACTTATTTTTTTCTCACGGGTACCTTTCGTGTTCACACCACGTGTGGTATTTGGAGAGCGACATCTTTGCCGCAGATCCTGCTGATGTATCCCGCTGCTTTTGATCACTCTCTTCTCATTTTTTCTGCCGTGTAGCTCAAGAGTCAAAAGTGTTCCTGTCTATGTCAAGATGTTTTGTATTTCCAGCGATGTTTTTTGTTGTTCGGCGTGCCTCCCCGCGAAATAGAGCGAGTCGCGGCGGCGTTACGCGTCCATTGCACGTGCAATCTGCTTTTATTTGCTCAGCACCGTCGTGCTGGGTGCCTCGTCACAAACGATCCCAGCGCGTATGGATAACGAAAGGTAATATTCGTTTTACGCGTCGTCGTCACAGTTTTTTTCCTACTTTTTTTTAGCCCGCTGCCGCGCCGGGTAGTTTCGTTTACACTTTGACTCCTGCGTAACACATACGCATTCTCACATCATGAGCAACACGGTAATCAATGAGACCGTTCAAATGCGGCGGGTTACAGCAGCAGGATTTGCGGCCAAGACGACGGCACTTGACGCACACGCGGAGAGTCACGGCGACAAACAAAAGGTTTCCCGCACACCCGTGCATGGCATGATGCGATACATTGCATTTGAATGGAAGCCAGCACTAATGACTACCGAACGTTTGAGAGTTGAGATACAACAAACGGTGGATAGTATTAGCCGTGTCCTCTTGCGTCGCCCTTGGGAGACGTCGTTGTACATTTATATGTACCAAGGGTGTGCCTGTGGTTTCGCCCTTATTTACTGTAGGCGACAGTCCCCCCATTTTTCGTGGTGAGACGGGTATATACTACACGTGTTTCAGTGTGTAGAGTACTACACCTTTCAGTTTATTGTTTCGTACAACTACAACCATCCAGGGTCACACAGGAAGGGGAAAACATCGGGGCTGTTCTTTTTTTTTTCGTGCCCCACCTTCCTCCTGCATTGCGTGGTGAATTTTGTTTTTATCACGAGAAGGGTGCAGCCGTCGCTTTCCCTCGTCAACGGCGCTAACGTCGAAGGTTGGTACTCACGAGCTTTTCAGCTTTTTCGCTTTCACTCGCAAATTTGTAATATTTTTTCACCCCATGGGGATTCAAACTCACGACTTTGCCACAGGCGGTTTGGAGGACACCACCGGGGCGACCGGTAGAGTACATGCGAACATAAAATCCGGACACATACAATAGCCGCCCCCCCCGCCCCCCCCCCTTATCTAGACATAAGTGGGTTGGCGTTGTTGGCAAAGGGTTGTAAAACACGCCACCCCAAATGTAGCCCCCAGCGTTTGCGCAACCAAACACGCGTGACGCACGGACGGGTGGAGTGAGGATAGTTGTTTACGAAAACCTCACGGGTTGAGTGATGTATGAGATTGCCGGACATACTGAAACCTCACAGGCTGATTGGTATTGGAGATTGCCGGACACATAGACGCATTGAGTGAGGATAGCTACATATGAAACCTCACAGGCTGATTGGTATTGGAGATTGCCGGACACATAGACGCATTGAGTGAGGATAGCTACATATGAAACCTCACAGGCTGATTGGTATTGGAGATTGCCGGACACATAGACGAATTGAGTGAGGATAGCTGCATACTGAAACCCCACAGATGGATTGGTTTTTGAGATTGCCAGACACATAGACGCGTTGATTGGGGATAGCTGCATACTGAAACCCCACAGATGGATTGGTTTTTGAGATTGCTAGACATATGGACGAGTTGATTGGGGATAGCTGCATACTGAAACCCCAGGGGTTGAGTGACGTTTGCGATTGCCGGACACATAGACGCATTGAGTGAGGATAACTGCATAATGAAACCTCACAGGTTGATTTGTATTTGAGATTCGGACACATAGACGTGTTGAGTGAGGATAGCTGTATATTGAAAATCCACAGTAGTAGCTATAGTGAGGGGACAATTCCAGAATGCAGTACATACACATAGACCCGATCCCCAACCCGTACCCGAACCCTCCCTGAAAAATAGAGGCCATGCGCCCCCCCCCCCTCTACCCCCCCCAGAGGATGTGGGTACAGTCCAAAGTAAACACAAGCTTACCTAAGGTTAATCTATTGTTACGGCATTCAAAAAAATACTAAAGTCCCCCATTGGGCGGTGGAGGACTTAGAGTTAAGACACCCCAAAACTCTTCGGCGTGAGATCCAAAATGGATCGAACGGTGGAGGGGGGGGGGGTGTTCGTTGCTTAAAGTGGACCAATAAAACATAGAGCCATCAAAGCAAAGCGCTTACTACTCACGTCGAGCACGCTGAACGACCTGACCAACCACGCAAAAACTGCGGAGCTAGGTGTGCGGCACGCACAATGCATTGTTTTCGATTGGAGAGAGGCGAGTACAAAGCAGTAAGGAATTGTTGGCCAAACTTTCGGCAGATAGGTCTACTCGGGAGCGTAAGTGGGGTAGAAACCCATGGTGGAGCGTACATGAGAAGCTGGACGTTGGTGTACGCTCCATCCCGGCGTGCGAGTAGGATCTTAGGCTATGCAAGTCGTCCCTGAACTTATTGCGGTGAAAATGACCTCCCAGGAGGAAAGTAGCTTGTACCGCGGGACTTCGGAGATGATAAATTGGGTGGTCGGGGGACGTCTGGGTGTTTACTAAGAAGAGCGCCCGGCACAAGACTGGGGTACTTGTGCCAGGAGGTGTGAACTTGGATCTAGACTACGAGCCCATGTTGGAGGCGCTATTTAGCGTCGGTGAGCCGGCAAAAGAACTGAAAGGAACCACAACCCCCACCGGACACTCGGATTGGGAAGGCCGAGTATTCCGTATACCTTCCTGAAAAAACACGAAAAACAAGTGGCCGCGGTCCAGTTGCTGTAGAGATCATGAGGACGGTGAAGAAGCCGGGAGGATGGAAACAGAAACTGTGGAAGGGAGACAGGTTGGAGCTGCTGCTGTTTGGGATTCCAAGGGACATGAGGATAGAATTCAAGAACTGTTGTGACAGGGAGGGGCTGCACTGCCTAGCAAGGGGATAGTAGGCAGAGAGCGTGAACATTTCCGGGTGAAATTGACCAAGGGAGACAGCCAAGAGTGCTTGGGGGTTGACATCGAGAAGCTGTCGAACTACGTAAGGAAGTTTGGATGGAGGGTTTGCGTCGCGAACATGATAGAAACAGAGAAGGTAAGGCGACAAGAGGCGAGGGCGATAGAGGAGAAGAAGGGACCGGGCGGGGGAGACGAGCAGGCAAATCAGAAGAACGCCGAGAAGAAGCGGAAGGCGAAGGATAGAGTGCGCAAAATCTCCAATAGGGAAAAGCACAAGCTGAGAGTGGGGTCGTGGAACGTGTGCGGGTTCGCAAGGAGTGAGCGCGATCGGTTGGAAATAGTGGACAAGTAGAACAAAGCGATCTAGATGTAGTGGGGATCCAAGAGACGTGGGAACTGAAGGATGGCGACGTGGTAAGCAAACTAGGGAAATACCGGTGGGTAGGGAAGGCAAGAAAGGGCTTAGACCCCAAGAAAAGGGGGGAGGGGGGAGTCGGATTCCTTGTCAAGGAACACTTGTATGACGTGGTGGAAGTAGTGGTGAAAAAGGAGTTCGAGGAAAGCCTATGGCTTAAGATACCTGGGGAGCGGGGTGTTTGTTTCTAGGGAACGTATACGTCCCACGCATTGCGCAGGAGAACTTCGGACAAATTGGGGAAGATATCCAGAGGTTCAGTAGGAAGGGAGAAGTTGTCATGGTGGGCGATTTCAACTCCAGAGTAGGGAAAGCTTCCAGTAGAGGACAGGCGATCGGGCAGCACGGAGAAGAAAAGTGAATGACAACGGAGTGAGGACGCTTGCATTCTTGGGAAGCAACGAGCTGATGGTGTTGAACGGTAGGACGGAATGCGACAAGCCGGAGTTCACCAGGCAAAGGGCAATTTGCAATAAATACTCGATCCTCGACTACATTTTGGTAGATAGGGGGAGCACACAGACCCCAGAGCTGCACGTAAGTGCGATAGATATAGGTTCGACCGACCATTTCCTCGTATGGGCAAACATCGACCGATCTAGAAAGACGGAGAGTAAGAAACAGAGGAAAGTGTTCCGGTGGAAAGTAGAGCGTTTGGGAGACGAGGGGACACGGGATGTATTCCAGAAAGGACTGGCTGGTAGTGTAGAACCCTTTAGGAAACTGCTGAGAAGCGTCGAAGACGGACAGGTAGACGTACAAGCAGCAGGGGACAGGGTGATTGAAGGATGGGAGTCCATAGTGAACACAACGGCAGAGAGAGTAGTAGGAAAGAAGGTGGTACGCTGTGGGGTATCGGTCAAGTGGTGGGATGACGAGCTGAAAGAAGAAATATGGGAACGTAGAGAAGTCTTCAAGCAGTACCTGAGTGAGGGGTTTGGGGAGAGTTGGGAAAAGTACAGGGCCAAGAGGAAACAGGTGAAGGGACGAGTGAGAAAGAAGAAAAAGTGCATTTGGGACGAAGTAGTGCAGAAGGCCAACGGAGGCCTGGAGGGGAACGACAAGCAGATGTGGGAAGG